TGATAATTGGGTAAATTGGGCTGGTGGGGAGCGTGGGCTCGTTGAAGAGTTGCATGGGTTCGTAGGCTGTTCCTTCTATGAATCCTTGTTGCCATTCCGGGTTTGACTGTGTTTGGGTCGCCATAGTAGCGGCGTTGGTGGTGTAGGGGTTGTGAGAGGTCAGAAAGAGGGGGTGAAAAATTTTCACGTGATCTTTTGACGGATATATCTCTGCCACCAGAGGGGCAGGCCTCCTGGGAGGAGAGGGGAGTGGTTGAAACTCTAGCTGCTATCGTTTGGTTGAGCGGGATTGATGGAATTGGAAGAAAACTTTTCCTCGAAAAAGTTGTGTGTGCGTCAATTCAGGCGGCGAGTTAAGTTGATTAGTGATTTTCACTACTCAAGTTGAGTTGAGTAGGTGTCACTACTCAACTCAACGACTCGAACTTTCTACGCTGTTACTACTTAACACGAACATGCACTTAAAAGTCTATTACTAGAAGGAAAGATATGCTATAATAGTTTACTTAGTTAGCTTTATCTTTTCTTATATCGTTTTAGAATTTTCAACTAAACGGCAAGCAACTTTGTAATGCTAGAAAGAGATATACAGTGAGACTAAGAGATTTGAATTATTATTGAAATAAATCTCACATATGAAGTGATTTATCCAAAAACTATGATCTATGATTCAGCGTCATCAACAACATTCAACGTCTCAGTCAGCGGCCTCCCCTTATCCATCCATACCATCCCATTCAAGATCTTGATAGGCCCCTTACACAGCCCACACCTCGCAACCTTCCCACACTCAGTCTTCCTGAAAGGCCTGGCCCATCGCCCTCTTTCTTGACAAAAAAAAAACGACGAGGATGCGTTTGCCGCCGTCGAACCGCGCGTCTCTGACGTATTGTAGCGTACATGGGTTTTGGCGGGGATGTTGTGTGTAGCGAGGAGGAGAGCCGGCTATGGAGTAGGGAGGGGGTTTTGCTTGGGGGTTTGATTGGACTGTCATTTGGAGTTTAGTGGTTTGGATCTTGTTGCGGTTTTAGATACTGGTACCTTGTTTGCGGGAAATATATACTTGTAACGATTTGCGGTTTTAGATACTGGTACCTTGTTTGCGGGAAATATATACTTGTAACGATTTTTATGGAATTAGTGATTGGGAGAGATTGGGAGATATTGGTGAAGTGTGAATCGTTTGGGCTAAAAGTGAAGGATAAAGGATTGTTAATGTTGTTGTTCTGTTACAATTCATTGTACATCATATTGCCTCGAACAAAGGTCGATGACTCAAGAACACAAAGAAAGTTAAGACTCGCGAGGGGTCATTGTTGATGGCTTTGCAATTGACAAAGAGACATTAGGTTGTCAAGACATGGAGACTCGCTTGCTTTTAGATAGCTGACATAACGAAACGAAAGATTCATGACACGTGAATGTATCATTGGCATGATGTTGTGCCATCTTGTGAGAGGAAAGGTGCGTCAAGGTGATTTTGATTATTTCAAGCCCTGGGTTCTAGAAGTCATGTGATTCCACATACTTCCATCTGTTGAATACAGTTGTTTTCATGATTGCAATGTAAATGTAGTGTCCTACAGCCAGTGAATCACAACAGGAAGAATCCGAAGTCTATAAGACCCAAGCTGCAACTTCTTCAGCTCCCTTCATCTCTCTTGAAGATTTCTCGTCCCTATTTACCAATAGTATCGATATCATGGGAAATTCACACAGTTCACCTGCTTCAGCCTCTCATGAGACGGCACAAAACACCAACCACCATGTCGCATCTCACGCATCACATATGTCACAAACCGAAACCGCAGAGCCTTGCACAATCACCTTTTTGGAATGCAATCTTCGGCACACCGTAGTCTTCGAGCTTTGTTGCTCGAAACAGGAAGGGAGGTACAGATTCATGCGGGAGAAAGGCTATGTGAGAAAGTTGACTCGGTGTCCGCAATGCGAAGGCCCGCTTGAGTTCAAGAATAGACTGGTATGGGATCTGGCGGTTGGAAAACCGACGGCGACGACGGAGAAGCCTTGATATAAGAAGCTCTGATCGTTATACGTCGATGTATTTCGTCCCAAGCGTTATTAATCAAAACTTCGCTAGGATAGCTTGAGCGAATTACAAAGTAACACCCCCTAAAGTTACAGTTATTATGTCTGGGACGAAGTACCGAGCTTCGCAATTACTTCGTAGTCTATGCGAAGAAAGAGGTGCCAACTTAGCCAATCAATAGATGTGGAAAACACAAAGTTGATACTTTTCCCCCTGGTTTGAAAATATTTTTTCCCCTGGTTGAATTTTTTTTGTATGTGCTGCCACCAGAAAACACCTCTTTTGTTTAAGGGGGAAGAATAACATTTTAGAGTCATGTTTAATGGATACAAGCAAAAATAGAAGAGATTCAACCAAAGCTTACGTCTATGTCTTATTTATCTTTTACCCCTTTTCAATCGGTACTTAGGTCTCTCCTTATGGTAATTAGGTAATTTAGGTTAGGGTGGCCCGATCGTGGGTGAAATCTGGTAAATACCACTTTCCGCCTCGCCTAAATTCGCTACCAACCGAGTGGCCAATCATCGGCAAAGTAAACAGATTGATGATCGCAGGACGGGCCCTACGGTGGTCTGTCAACCAGGGTTCTCCCGCAAAATTGTTTCTCGCTTCCACCGTGATACACTGTTGATTTGGAACCCCTTACTCTCCTGTGAACATCACACGTTCACAGCGATCGATAGGGACACTGAAGTCCTTCATTTGAGAATTAGAACTGCCGTGATCAGTGAAGAATATAAGAAAACATACACAAGAAATATACAAGAAGTTCACATGATATCGCACTGAAGAAATCTGTTTGCAAACGCGTACTAGTTTTCGGAGTCCGGATATTGAGTATGATTCGAGTTGGCATTGTGCTATGCAGCGGCCTTGGTTGACGTAAACTGGAAGTTATGTTTGGGAGATGTCTTAGATATGTCTCTTAAGCATGACTCGTGACTATTCACAACTATCCGATATTCCGTACTGTGTACCGAAAGATACGGTACTTCGACCAAGTACCATACCGTGGTTGAGCCGCAAGTTCGGCCCGCCCCCACCATACGGGAGATATTTCAAGACAAACCCAATCGTCCAGACTGTACGAACGGATACTGTTCGCTTTGGCCTTCCTCAATTCATAGCATCGAGATTCGAGGAGTTTGCAAACCCTTTCATTACGGTGCAACACTGGGAGATCGTCACTGCAAGTTGAATTTTGAACAATATCAAAGTAAATCTTTGCCTCCAAAAATAGTTTTAATGTGCCACTCCTGCAGAAGGCTTAAGCCCACTCGAAACGCGAAGAACATGACCCCGGAGTGATCCCTGCGAGTACAGTATGTGAGGCCAGACCCGATTGAGATGAAAACCACAAGTTTTGAAACACAAGTATATCTTCGAAATTGTTTGTTCGCGAGACGTTCTCTTCGCTCATTCCTCCCAAGTAATATTTATTGACATCGCCACCTTCGCGCATATGAACGGGAATCATCCTCAAGGAATTTATGGGGATTATATCGCGTGGCAAGGGCTCGGTACTCAGGAAAGTCAAAGCAAAATTAACCTTAGCTCCCGGTAGGAGCTTTTTAAGAGCCGCGAATGATGATGGCTTCCGTCGGTAGTGAGATAATGAAATCTTGGATGCTGTTTGTACTTTTGCAATTGTACCCATATTCCCTGCAGACCACCCATAAACTTGCCGAGAGTCCTGGTGAAAATTTACAAAAAACAACCACGACTGAAAGAAAGTATTGCTGAAATAAATACAGAATGAAATTGAATTGAGTCGACGTCTGAAATGCTAGGTGAACTCACTGAGGTCCCGCTTCGGAATTCCCTCAAACGCTAATACTGAAGCAGGCCATCGATACGTAGCCCTGGCATTCACAAGAATACAGTGAGACATACGAACTCTATTCATAGTTAGGCGGGTCTTCTTCAGATGGGTGTCTAAGCACGATACAAAATTTGGGAGAACCTCTCCGTGAGAGCGGGAGGACGATCGTCTTTATAACAATGGGCAAATCCCGTCTTAGGGTCACATCGTGCAGTATCGTACGACTGTGACGTCTTCTTGCAACACCTTCAAGATGCCCACTGTAAACCACGTCCCTGCGCCAATTCCAGTGATTGGATTGGTTTTCAGTGCAATTCTTGAGGCCGCGACCATAGTTGTGTTGGTTACTTGTCTAGGTAAGAGCGATCCGTTGAAGCCTCTTGTGGGGTATTTAGCAAGATCACATCATATCATTGGTTTTCTCGTCCCGAAAACTGACAGGATTGCAGCGAGGCGGTTGATTCTACTCAAAGACAGGAATTGGAGAGAGATCCCTTTGGTACGGTGGTGTCAGTATTCTTCCAATTCTATTTCCGATAGGACCTAACTAATGCTGTATTAAAGTGATTTACGTAATCTACGTCGATTCTCTTATATTCATCATCGCTACGACAGTTTTGACTTGGGGCTTTGGTCTCAACCGAGATCTTACTATTTGTGCCACGGCAATTTACCTATGTCTCATCTGCTATATGTCTTCAAAGGTACTTTCCCTCGAAGATATAGGGATAGGAGGAATAGTTGCTGATTCTGTACAACCCAGATTTTTATATATTATTTCCTGGTTGAGAAAGTGGTAAGGAGATACACCATCATAATGCAGAAGGATGCAATTTGCTAACGGAAGACAGTTTATTGTTCGCTCAGTAGCGCGTTCGAGGTTGAATTCAAAATTATACTGCTTCAATTGCTTTGGAATGCTTCTGCCATACGCCGTCATTGTCATTTTCAACTTTCTTTATAAAATATCCTACTTCACACCTGGGGGCACATGTATTATCGGCATGGAATTTAAGGTCTTGATGCCCTTGATAATTTTCGACGCGGTTATCAACGTAAGTATCTTGGAGACGTTGTAAACGAATCCTGCTAATGCATTCTTTCTAGGCTTTCTTAACAGTACTATTCATTATTCCTCTGAGAGGTAAGCCACTTTTCCATTTCGGCCTTCCTGAGACTCTGTCTAACATTTGGAATTAGGATTACATTCGTTCAAAACTAGTCACGATCCAAGACTTCGAAACATAGCCTTTAGATCATTTGTTGGAGCCTGCGGAACCTTGACTTCAAGTGTTGTGAACCTTACCGTTCTAATGGTTCTTGAAGGACAAGCCGCGTGGGTCTGCCTGATCTGCTGCAATTCTGACAGTATGTCACCCATATTGGTATCCCATCATTTAAGTTGCAACCTAATATTCAATAGTTCTCTTCTCGGTTCTGACGATCCACTGGGTTACCTCCAGAGATTCTCCGGTAAACTCCTCCCTCGATCAACACTCAGCGCGTCAAGGCTCTGGGCACCAACTTTCCTCTTTCAAAAGCAAATTAAAGTCACTGAGGATGTCTGCCGGGCTCGCCGAGAGTCAGAAGGGCGGGGGTTGGGTTCATACACCCAACAAGACCACCACCGTAATTGAATGCGGACGCACCAGTCCTGGGAGTGAAGATGAAAGCGACAAAGAGGGGATAAAAGTAGAAATCGGACACAGCATTGTTGTTGAACGGGATGGAAAATTGATGAGCAGACCAGAAACAGCAATGGATTCGAACGATCCCAAGTTATCACCAAGCGATAGTCGATATGGAAGCTCGTATAAGAGCAAATTCACATTCGAAGAGGCGAGAAGTGAACCCTCAGAGTCGGTAGTCCAGGTCCCAAGTCACAAAAGTACCGAGGGCTTGGTGGATAAAGACTTCGACTTCAAATTCCAGTTATAATGAAACAATACTTATACCATTTTGTAAATTGGGCGTTGGGGCGTCTATCTGGGGGCTTGGGTCGGAGCAAATAATACATGTATAGTAGGCATCAGAAATTCCAAATATGAATTTCTCCAAGTTGCTATTTGTTCGTATTTTTGAAGATGGATGGCGATCAGTTTCATCAAAGATACGGCAATTTTGAGTCAACCTCGCGGACTGATTATAACTTGCAAGTCAATAGCTGAAGTGCCAATCCCTTACAATGACCCATCTCAGGCCCTGTTCTTGGCTCCATCAACGAAGAGGAAGAAGAAGAAAAACGAAATAGAAACTGAAATTCCGCACGAAAACTTTCACCTCACACTGTCTGGGTTTACTGACGAGAATCCACCCATACGTCGCTAAGATAAGATTACATACGATCAGGAGGAATCATGGTGAAACTTATTTGATTTTCAATTTAACCTTTACAGATCCACACAGGCCGCCATGTGGGGCCACTTATGCATATAAAATTGATGCGCCGAGGATTTGTTGAAAGCCTGTTATCAGACAGTGAAAATCATAAGAAAGCTTTGACCAAAGGCTTTTTCATGCTTTTGATTAATGCTTTTTAGTGTTAGCGATGACTCTGTTCTTGACTTCAATCTCTTCATCGTCCATGAGATAGACGGTATTATCGAGGGCACGAGTATTGAACTATTCTGTATTAGCAAAGGGGACAACGCTATAGGGCCATGAAGACTTACAATTTTGGGAGCAACGTTTCGTAAATCAGTGATTCCGGCTTGTGCTCCATCACTAACAATCTCGTTCTTCATGATTTGGATGAGCTTAGTGACGCCCTCGAGTCCGTAGCAATTGGCAAACATGAACCTAAAAAGCAACAAATGTTAGTGCTTGACGTGATATTGGGGGTACCGAAGAGCACCGATTTCACTTACGGACGTCCCATTCCAACCATTTTTACGCCAAAAGCGAGAAGTTTAAGCACATCGGTACCGTATCTCACACCACTATCAGCCATGACATCAACCTTGGTGAACACCTCTGGAGCATTTTTGTAAATTTCATGCGCAATCTCGAGTGGTGATGGGCTGTGGTCAAGCTGTCTACCACCGTGGTTTGAGATGTAGATCGCAGGAGCTCCTTTCTCAATTGCTACAAGTGCATCATCGACGGTTGTAATTCCTTTTGGGATCACTGGAAGCTTGGTACGATTCTTTATTCTGTCGTAAAGGTCCCACTATAATGTCGGTTAGGATAATCTTTTGGATAAGGACAAGATTGCGCCTACTGTAAGTGCTCCGGTAGCGGCATTGCTAATCGAAATAACAAATTAGTTTGGAATATTACAACTTTTTGGATTTAACATACGCATTGGTTGTATCATAACGAGCTGCACGGTGGCGAGTAGATGTAGCAGGTGCGTCGATTGTGAACACAAATGCTTTCGCGTTTTGTGCTTCAGCACGAGCAATCTGTTCCCAGATGACGGACTCATTCGAGTTTCCATAAATCTAGCGTGATCAGCATCAATACGTCTTTTTGTAAGGTGTAAGTGACGGCTAACTTGTTGGAAGGCAACTTGAGGCCCATTCATTGTGTCATTATGCTTTTGGGCGCCAAGCTCTTCGATAGACTTGGAGGCGTAAATTGAAGCCTAGACATATCTCGTCAGTGATATTATCAAATACCCAAAAATTGGTGCTCGGAAAATGACTTACGGTATAGAGAATGTTCTCACTGGCAGCAGCGTCGACAAAGTTTAACTCTGCCCTCTCGTCTCCGTAAACGCCACGAGCAGCTGGAGCTATGAATATTGGAGCACTGAAATTGTATCCCATGAAGATTACACTGTCTTGATCAGTAAGCTACCCATTCGAGGCGGTGTGAGTGAACATACGGAAGTGTCTCGTTTAGTCTGGAGACATCGTTCAACATACGAGTTCTGAACTTGATTTTCGCCCATATATCAAGGTTGTTACGGTAACCTGTTGGCTATTAGGTCGTTACTGTTAGCAGCTTCAGGGCGACTTACTCCATTCTCCAGCTGCTGCTGTTCTATAAAATGCGTATTGCTGATCGCCCAGGTATGCCTCAGCAGCCCAGTCAAAGTCCGGAATCGCTCTCATGTCTTTTAAAAGAGGCAAGGAGTTTTCAGTGTAGTTTGTGGAAGCAAGGTAATTGACCAAGCCTGTATCTGGTTCTTCAAGCCACTATCTCAATATTAGTCCATTGCTTTCGCATTTTCTGAAAAAGTAGCGCGCAGCGTCAAGACCCCTCAGTAGCTCTCCAAGAAATGCGAGAGCAGAGGCCAATGCAGTGATTACTTACTGGCTCTGCTGCTAACACAGCCGAAACAAGCGAGCTGATAGTAATGAATGAACGCATCGTAGAGGGTACAGTTGACAGCAAAACAATGGTTACACAAGGGGACTTGAGGTGTAAAACACTTGAAGCTATCTCATGGAAGACAATGGAAAACAAATTTTATATATCATGGTATTTCCAAGACTTGATCTCCGGTTTACTAGTACCATTCAATCCGACATGCTTGCTCACAAATCTTGGGTTACAATGATGCAGCGTACCTCACCTCATGTGCGGAGAGATCGCTTTAAGCATCGTCTTCCCCAATTCCTGGTAGGTTACTCCACCAATTTTGAGGACGGTCGAATGAAGTTGAAAGGTTATACAAGGCATAGCCCTGTTGGCTGCAGCTGCAAGTGCATACTGCTGCGTTAGGCGTACTCAGTTCATCTGATCTCCCACTTTTGGTTTAAATCGTAGGGACTAAAGGCGGAGATGGTACCTCACCTTAGACAGACTGCATCAGATAAACCCTCCAGAACACCGGACCCCACAAATGATGGATTCTCCACCCATCCATCCCTTCTTCTCTCGTCGAAATTGTACCGCACGTTATAGATTAGCACAAACCTCTTATACGATATTTTCCACCATAAATAACGAGAGAAATGCCATTAGAGGGATTTCGCACCGGTTTTTCGGACAGATTCCTTGCGGAAAATCGACAAAACGTCGACACTTTTCCGACACTCAGGTGGGGCGTTGCTCTGCCAGATTTCACGCTTGCAGGGCTCAGAGGCCCCCTCGTCTATCCCCTGTACCCCCCTTGCAAACCCCCCTTTATTTATCTAACGTCGATAACCCCGACAAGGAAATGAACTTCCCCTTGCGCAAGGGGAAGTTCACTTTCGCCATTCTACAAGATTTTTTTGACATTGAAAATGTGAGTGCTTAGTCAGCGTCCTAGGAGCCTACCTCAAGCCCACTTCCACCCGTCCCGACCCACTACAAATAGCACTACGCTGTTTTAGGTGTGGATGGACGCCAAGTTACAGCACTATGCAAAAAAACCCTAGCATAAATTTGCAAATTTTTCAGGGTTAGAATTGTCCCCACAAAAGGTGCGAGATCCGTCTATTGTTTGTTGAATTTGAAGTATAGTTTCGGTTCTCGGTTCTTATATACACAGCAGGCGCCGAGCTAGCCGAAATACGAATGACGGAAATCGACGCGGAAAAATATCCTTCGAGGGGTGACAAGTGGGTCATTCATGACTACTGCTACCCAATTGTGAAGCACAAGTCAAGTCATGCAGAAGGGTTGTGCCAAGACAAAATATGCCGATTTAGTACCCGTCTCCAAAAGGGTGAGAAAACACTCGCCAATTTGAGGCAGAGGTACACCACACCTACATAATGATTTTTCAATCTAACACATACAAATGAAATAGTAGAATAATATCTAATAATATATCATTTGTCTATCGCGGTCTCTATACTCTTCAAATCTATTTAGGTAGGGTTTATATATATTTTTGAATGAGTTTTTGGTCTAATTCCTGTGGGGTGGCCCTGTGCCGCAAATCAGCGTGTTTTTTCTCACCCTTAGAGCCTGCCACTCCCTGGTACTGTTTTTGCCTTACCGAAAAGACGAACAGGAACGAGAGGTTTGTAGTGGCATTTTCACCTCCATACGAGTACAACTCAAATCCGATATCGGTAATACCATCCAATCCCAGTTTTTGTGACTCGGAAATTTAAAAGGGACTCTAAAATCCTATCCGGGTTAAATCATAACAGGTGGATATTTACGATACTGTAATAGGCAGGCAATGTAGGTTAGGTAGGGGTGGGCAGGGGATACTCACTATAATAGGCAGGCAGTACACTCGCGCAGGACACGGTACTAGAATCTGCACCCCGCATTTGTCGTTAAGGTAATTAATTGCGCCTACAAATCTGCACCTATGGTACATGGCCGTTTTTACCTCCGACTCCTCCGACTCCTCCGACTCCTCCGACTCCTCCGACTCCGCCCCGATTCCACTCCACCGAACGGCCATGCAGCAGTAGTGGTGGTAGGTGCAGGGGTCGGCAAAGAACGGCGAACGCGCGATTTTCATGAATACTATATTATACGAATTGAACTTAGGAAACTAAAAGAATTAGTGAACTATATGAACTGTAAATTGAACGCTTAAAATTAGTGAAATTTCAAACATGAAAGGTTCATATAGACACGTGATATAGTTAGGGCTTCAGGTTTATAGGGAGGAAGTAGTAATAAGTAAAGCGTTTTAGAATCTCTTTTAGCTTTGTTTTACTTATCTTATAAGATCAATATATTTACTAACTATATTATAAAAATAAGAGGGGTTAATATATATTTAGTACTTAGGTAGACAACGTGACGTGACTATAAAAAGACCTTGCCTAATAGGTAGCCCTTTTGGCCCTAGAGGAAAAGGGTGATTTTTATGGGTACCCGGACTTTTATAGCCCCTTTCCGCGAAAAATATACAACTATTCATGAATAAGTTCACGAAACGCTTATCAAATATTCACATGAATTAAATTATTAGATTTTTATATGAAAAGAACGCTGAACTTTGAAAAATTCAAAAATATACGACTAATTCATTGCTGAGCCCCAAGTAGGTGGATCGGGTGAGTCACGTGGGGAATCTACTACCAAAAACCTTTATAAAGAGGGTCGGAAATTGAGATAACATGTGGCTAAATCGAAATCGAGTTTAATATCACACTTGCTTAATGCTATGCTTGGAACCCCACAATTCGAAGTAAATACATGGGACATTGGCTCTTGAAGTTGGCCCCAAAGGGAAGACGTAAACAATATTTGTTTGTCAACAAAAATTGTCGTTCCACCTGAATTTGTTTGCATACAAGCATTCCTCTTTAGGAGTTAGCATAAACATGTTTCACCAGTTCGTCAAAATTTGATGCATATTGTAAAAATCCTCTGTATCCGCCCCCTTGAACTTTTCTAACCCACCCATTACCCCCTCCTTATCAACTTCCCAATGCCCCAATGCCACTAGTTTGGCCCACCTCTCCAGCAAATTTCCAAATTTTGGCCCATGGTACTGAATTCAATGACAGTATCCTGGCTGATATAGGTCATTCTTACAACCAGCTGGATGCGCGTCCATCTCTCCTTGTCTCTCGCCCATCAACAAATCATCCGTACGGCGGGCAAAGCCATTTGCACCAATTTCAAATGAGAGAAAGAGACGACAGGTATCTTCGAAGACGTGATCGCCTTTGACACAGTCTTCATCCAGAGTCCGTAGTTCAGATTGCAATCTTCTTGATGTGTGTATCCAAAAAGCGGCTCCGAAGACATCGTTTCTTAGATAAAGAGGGGCAAGGGCAGAATCACTTCCGAACAATCACATTTTTCGGACTTTGGAAAGCCTTGAAATGGATGAGGTGAATAGTCGCTTGGTAGAGGGAGACGTAGGCCATGGGTTATGAACTTGATGTTCTTTGGTTGACGGACTTGCATCAGGAATCCGCGGACGAACCCTCGGGTATTTCAGCACGGTCAAGAATTTCCTGTGATAAGTGGCCCGGTTTGGAGATTTTCTTTTCTTTGGCAGCACATGCCTCGAGCATTCTCGCTTGCTCGTCTGCGTTGTCCAAGACTTAAAGGGTCGGATCTTCGAGCAAGCATTCGACTATGGTGCTTAGTCGATTGAAATTGCTGACAGCAAAGGCTAAATCATATTCGCTGTATGAGATGAGGCTCTAAGGTTGGCTTGCACCATCAGGCGAAACTATAACCTTTCCAGTGTCAATCATGCCTAGCCAAGCAGTTAAGATAACTTCGAGAGGATCCCAAACAATGCGACCATTAGTGACGATACAGTGATCATGTATATAGGTACAAAAGATTGCATCATTGGCTCCTTGATCGAAGCTCGAGTTCTATTAGCCATGAATGAGAAGCTGGAAAGAATTTCTATACTTCACACCATCTAGATGACTTTCAATGTTCAAATTAGTCATTTGATATAATCTCACAACATCGTATTCATCATTGTCCCATGATTCGTTGAAGAATTCGCTAGGCCAAGTCAGCCCCGAAGCGTAATAGAAGAAATTATCATGCTGTGTCTCGTCGCAGGCTGATTGAAGAAATAGCTTCAGAGAAGGCGTCAAACGTCTCGTCCACTCTTCTTCAAGAGTCTTATCGGTGATATGTCTATCCCACCATGTCTTTCCCAAAGTATCTGCAAGGACTTTGCCGCTGCCTGTCAAGCCAAGTTCAACGATTAGATTATGCAAAGGAGCGCAACGTTCCCAGTCCATACCATCTACCTTGCGGACCGGAAATTCTTCAGTAACTCGCCAAGTGAGTTGATCGTTGAGTGAAAAGCTCATTGCGAATAATTCTGGTGATGATCAAGGCAAACCAACAATAGAAACCAAGATTTGAATGAAGAACAAGTAAACGGGAGTTAAGAAATGTTCTGATGACTTTCATGGTGAGGCCCACTAGCCCCAAGGACAACAAATCAAGCCAATCACTAGGGCTAAGCGAGCCAATAAATTTAACCTACTGTAACCTTGGTCACCTCCCAGATTCATCAACCAATTAATGCACTCCGTGCACTCGCTGTTCGTGAAGTAAGCGTTACATATCGATTAAAGCACAGTTTATAAGTATCTCAGGTAAAATAAAGTGAAATACCATTTATAACATAAGAAATCTTTTACTTACATTCTGATTCTATTCTATGGATCATTTTATCACACGTTGTGACTATTAGGAGGCCGCTGTTGTTAAGGCTCTTCTCTGTAACCTGTTTTCAGCCAACCGCGCACCCTCCGCTTTCTGCACCACACACCATGCACCACCCACTTTCGTGCACTTCTTCTTGAGGTTTCGTCTTGGGGTTGAGATCAAGCTACACGTTCTCTGACAGCTACCAGGTAGTCAAATATTGCATTCTCACGATGTATTTATCTTCTCACCCTCTAACCCTCATACGCTCCTCTTGCCATGTCACGACCTCTTCTATTTGCGGAGCTCTCGTGCCATCGATCATCCCTTCTTTTTGACTGCTATCCTCCTTTCGCTGTCCTTGAACCGACTGGCAGATATCTTAATGTCTTTTCCCTCTCGTAGCCCCCTCGACACTCTGTACGTTCATTCATCAGCCTCAACGCGAGGAAGCGGTGCCACTGGTGCGTGCTGGTGCGAATGTTTTTGATGTTCTTGATACGCATGGAGTGAAAACCACCGGTAAAGAGGGCGTTATTGGTTGAGGGTGGACTTGAGAATTTGGCTGTACAGGTGAATATTACTCTTTGCAGGATATGTTCCCTATATTGACTCACTAACAAAATACTTTGCTTCAAATGGGCTACGAGTTCGAAGAATCTGAAGTTATTTCCTTCGGTGCAAGCGGCTGCTACAGCACCCAAACTCTCAAGAGAGATATTCCACGGCCTCTGGATAGTCTTCTCATCACTTCCACTAAACAACCGGAGTGGAGATTATTCGTCTCCCTTCTTGCTCCCGTAACCAAAGTATTCCCTCTTACTATTGGACCTAGTAACCTCGAGCTGCCGTCGATTCCATTGCTTCTTAATGTTACTACTATCCAAGGAAATTTTTGAGCTCCGAGACATGTGATTCAAAGGATGTTGACATTCGCTGTAAGACATAAAATCGCGCCAAAAGTGCATTGGTTGAAGACAAACGAGGTATCAAGGAAGCGTTTAAGATTTGGGGGTGGCATGGGATATCGGGTATTTGGGTATGCCAGGAGAGAAGAAGTTAGAAGTAAACAATTTGAGGGTTAATGAAGGTAACAGAAACCATAAATACGGTGGGTTTACTAATTTTTCTGAAGAAAGAAATCTATTGTCCTAAAAAGGCACGCGCCGGCCATAGTCTAAAACCTCTCGACATATACACATCAAAAAATCTCTCCATCCCTAGCTTTATCATCTTGTCCAGTCCGTAAGGTATCCGAGGCTTTCCTTATAGACCTCTTTGTATCTTGGGTCATCCATACCCTTGATTTTATCGGCCTGACAATCAAACTTCCAGGCTGCCTCTTCGTCAAGAATTCTCGCTGCACAAAACTGACACTTTCCGCTTTCTGGTCTCAACCGAAATCCCTCTGTTACCTCGTCAACAAAATCATCTCGAAGTGCGCAGTAGTACGTCAGTTTGATACGGTTGGCTGTTTTGTCGTAGAGAATTGAGTACTCGTGGTTGGTCATCGTCGCAAAAATGCTTTTTCCGCAAGTTTCATTCTCACATCTTTGTTCCTTGATAGTTTGAACACCGAAGCTATTATCATCTTCGAAGTTGATGTTGGAAATCGTCCTGGAGTAAACCTTATCGTCCTGAGGACAGTGATATTTGACATCTATGCACCCCTATTTCTGATTCCACTTTGATTGAGCATGATGCCGGAAAACTTTGGAATTGCTGGGGAAATCGTGAAATGATGGCGTTGATGGAGTAATATTTGACTGTTGATCAGACGTCGACCATGGCGGTGCCATTCCTCCGAGCTGTTCAGCATGTTGCTCGGTGTTATGTTTTGCTGGATGTGTCGCTCCTGCCGCAGCCCCTCGACTGCTGTTGCTTCTTTCTGGCCTTTGGAAAAGTTCTTTGAAGCGATTTGGCATCGTGGCTTGTGGTTTGCCGTTTATGTTCTGCAAGTCTTATCGTGTTTTGATGTGCAAGATTTAATCTGCAACAAGATTACTTCCCAGATTTAGTCCTTTTTATAAACTCTATTTGTTTGACAGTACTTCTATTCACATAGTCGACGCTTTCAAATTATTGTATAGTCTAGTAATTCACCATAATCCATCCTGCAGTCATTTCCCCTACTGACTCAGATGCAAAAACTAACTTCGAAGAGTGGATTGAGCAAGTGAAAAAAGTTGAAAAACACATGAAACAAATCCGCAGAGTTTATCAGGAGAGAAAATCTATTGGTGTTCTAAAGAGCCACGTGTAAGTATTCTAAGTTGACAACATCGTAAGACGTGTGTAGAGAGTCGTCTATTTATGTACATCGGTCAGCGGATGCCTTCCATAACGGTCTGCGTATCCAAGGTTCCCCGAAAAGGCTCCATTCTATCGAATCGAATTCTTGCAATGGTCGATAACCATTTTGAAGATCCTCAATCGTTCCCAGCTCAACAGGCAACTTCCGCAATACACGCACTGCATCGCCTCTCTCCTGGGTTCATCTCCTTCGGCGACTACCCCAGCGATAGTGTCATAGAATGGACAATAGTATTTTGTTCGGATTTCGTTTTTTCGTTTGCTGTAGTAGCTTGTATATTCGTGCTGCAACACTCCGGTAAGGACGCTTTGATTACAACCTCCGCACCTGAAGTACCGTATTGTATGGAGACTGAAACTAACCTCGCTACCGCAATCGAGGTTTTCGATAATTCTGAAATAACTTTCACCGTTCTTGGGGCACGTCCATTTGACGTGCATCTGGCTGGAGACTTGGTCGAGCTTTATGTCGGCTTTGTGGCTTTGAAAAGAGATATCTCTAGGTTATATAGTAGCTCGTTGATAGGACGGCGGGGTTCGGTAAGGGGCGTTCTGTTTATAGGGCGGAGGCTGTTGCGCATCCTGCGGTGTATACTCGGGTAGCGGAGTTGTAAATCCCACGTCAGGAAGGCTTCTTCTGCTGTGACTGGACATCGCGTTTACTATTTCGCTTTCTTGTGTTCTGGGTGTTGTGCCTGGTATTAAAGAACTAACTTGCAAGAGGCTCTCTTCGATACACAGCTTTTCATATATTATCTATTCTTGGCCCTTCAATGAAATACCAAGGCACCAATAGTAATTTACAGAAACCTCTCATTACCCATGTATAAGGTGGTTAATGTTTGCTGGGATGTCTAATAACATACTACTAGAACTCTTGACAAGCCACTCCCTCGCCGACTCATGGATCTTCAGCAACCCAGCAGTGAAATCTCAAATATGGAAGGAATATAACTTGATAGTGATATTAAGGTATTATCTACCACGATGAGCGTGTATAAATAAATTCTACGTGAAATGAAGCTGAAAAATCCAAAGTATCGTTGCCATGAAAATTCAATGTGAACAGCTTTGCTATAACACTCCAAGTGTGCCTACAGTATCAAGCCCTTCATTTATAGCCCCTGGCAGAAAAAGGCTTTCCAGACCCGAAGGGATTTCCTTGCCCAGGGTCTTGAGCCCACACCTCTGGGAGGCCAGGTCTTGAATTTCTGCAGTTCCAAATATGATTCGCTAAAGCTGACAACCTTCCCCATCGAGTGTTTGGACACAAAATTGGCTTGCACTATTCGCACTTTTCCGCAAAAAGATCCCTTCTGCATATAGATCCCAAATCGTTCCGTATTGGACAGTAATACTCAGTCGTGACCTCGTCAAGTTCTTTGACGTCACAGCTAGACCAGTCGTGCCACGAAAAACTCGCAAGAAAGCTGTTATTGCAACTTTGACATTTGTGTTCCAGTATTGTTTTAGCATTGAAACTCTCAGGTTATTGCTGTTGATGCCATTGAGCTTGTTTTGATATGGTGTTCTGTTTATATCTTGGGGACATTTGTACTTGACCAGATAGTGTTTCACGGCTCGTCCAAGAGAGGTTCTGGGTTATAATAAAAGCTTGGAAGTCGAGGGCAGGGGCAGTCTTCTCGATATACTGACGGGAGAGCTGCCATGTCATTCTTCGTATATTGAGGCGGTAGTTTTTCGAGGGCATTCTCGCTCTCCTTATTAAAGGATCCATTTGCTTGGGACATAGTGATTGGTAGCTTGCTGTATGTTGGTTGGATGTATTTTTTTTTTTGCCTGTGTTGTTCTGAGTTTTGCCGTTTGGAAGGGAGCCTATGTAAGGACATGCTAGACATAAACTAGCTCTTTACACATGTACTGCTTCTTTCCTTGGCTAAATTTCAGAAGGTTTTGACTTTTTAGGAACACCAATCATTCATGCTTCCCTATGACTGTTATCCAATGAAGCGACTTTATCACCAGTATGATCTGTTGGCATTTGAAATACGAACTATATGCAGATTGGTAGCAGTGTCAGACTTCTAGCCGTGAGAAAAAGTACTGTTATTTTCACTTGAGTTCTCGTCCCTTTCTGGGTTTTTATGCACAGGAAACAATTTTCAAGGGGGTTTCTGTGGTAGACCTAGAAACAGGCTCAAAATACACGTTCCACTAAGATTAAAATCCCAGAAGGACTTGACTGGTCTTGGGACCCTCACCATTCATGTGCAGTAAGTAGTGAGAAAACGGAGAGATTACAAATGTTATTGTCCTTATTTGTTGCCCAGAATCTTTCCCAGAGTCATCGAGATGTTAAGCATCAGCAAGTGAAGAACGATGTCTATGTACATGGTGATTAAACAAATTCTAATTATTCTAGTCAGGGATTCATCTCGAGTGAAATGTGCAATATGAAATGTGAACCCCCAAACCCCTTCCACTACAATTCCCTCCGATTCAACATCCGCTATTCTCCTGCGTTCCCACACTCCCGTTCATACTTCGACCGTTTATATATGATTCTCCCGCAGTAGTAACCTCATATCCTGTAGAACCCCCACAAACATTCTCTCCAAGTACTTTCAGTGCAATCCATTCACCTCCCAATCAAATTCCTCCTTCCTAAACTTCGTCATGCTCGTACCACAAACCCCACAAAACGGAATAAACTTCTTCTGCCTCTCCTCATCTGTCCTGGTATGCTGCCAGCCTCCTTGATGATTTTCCTTCGTGCACACCCAGACATCACCTCTCTTGGGAGGAAGCATTGTCTTCAAGCAGTGTGGTTCATCGCAAACAGGGAACCCCGAGTCGAGTATTGAGAGGGTTTTGTACTTTGACTCGAGGTGATTAGAGCAAGACCATGCGTAGTCGTTCTGGCTGGTGGGGGTAATTTTGTCTTTGATTTTATCGAGTGTTGGGTGATTTGAAGAGTTAGGTGAGCTGCTGGGTGTAATTTTCTTGACTACTTTTTCGATTTTGGGGTGTTGTGTGACTGTGTCTGAGGCTGAGAGTCGGTTCATGAGCTTGTCTATTTTTGGAGCCATGATGCTTGGTGATTGGGGGTGTTCTGAATTGGTTCGCTGATGTGTTGATATGTTGTTGATAAGTGCTTGGTTTATTTGAGTACAGAGTTGTAAGGTTGATGATTTAGTAGGGGGACTAGTGTTTGGGTGGGTAGAATTATATCTTGTGCAGGTACGAGTACTTTCTGTAAACCAAGAATCACAAGCGACTTTTGATTTATGGTATCTCACGGCCAAGATTATACTTGGCTTTGGACTGAGTATTCACTGTACACTATTATGGCGTCACCTCATGTGACTGATCAGGTTACTTGATTATTGTGAGCTTCAATTCACGATCGAAAGCATTTGTAGCATGAATGCCTTGTACTTAGCTGTACTTTTGGTACTTACAAAATATAAATGTTTTGCTACTACTCGTAGTACCCGAGTAAAAGGTGGACCCCAAATATCAGAGTTTTATCAAAAAAGATGCGTCCATGATCATTGTATGAGGGGCTCCTACGGAAAAGGCTTCGTCGTTCCTTCAGTTCACCCTTGTAGCGCCTAGTTTTTGTAATAACAATGAAAGACCATATCCGTAGTAGATGAAATACGTAGAAGTAGAAGTTTAGCACAGCGTTTACTCCTTTCACTTATCAGGATAAGCAATCATATTGTCTGTGTAGAAAGTATGCTATGAATCCCCTAGTCCAAAAACCAGTTTTGTCATAGGATACCAAGATAGGTTGGAAGGACTTCTGATATGTGCTGCTTTACGATCTTGTTCATGCCAGTAAAGCCCTTGCCAGCAAGAGATGCCACGCAGGAAGATCTCATCATCTTAACAACTTGTGCTTATCAGCACTATCAAATCCTCCAAACCATTCAGATCTCAACCTTAGTCTCTCATCCCTCAAGATCCGGAACCCTTACCAACTACACTTCCATCTGTATCCGGCCTCTTATTTGTTCTTCTGAAGCTGAATTTTACTAGGAAGCTCCATTTTCTGATTGCATACAGAACACTTAGGCCACTGGGCTCCAACTTTCTTATCCTCTTCGTGATATCTTTTGTAAGTGGGTTCACTGCAGTGGTTGCAATGCCAATGCGTTGTCTTGTCTTTGATTAAGTAATCCATTCTTCCGATCCAAAGTGCTTGAGGCTCCGAAGCTTTGGATACTTGCGAAGTGTTGGGTGAGCGGGAACGAGGGTCAAAGTGATGATACCTGTCCTATTTCCGGTATTAGGTGGTTCTATTTTGTTTGTCTTGGAGAATAGAGAATACTTGTTTGTCTTAGTGAAACATAACTGCTACTTTCGGCAGAAGGTCCGTCATGGTTGGGTGTGTTGATGAGGTTGTGGCGGTGTTAAAGAAAGGATCACAGATCAGAGTGAAGAGATCACCTTTACTCTAAAGACTTGGCAGTTTGAGATTGGATTTGTGTTTTGTTCGACGGGGAAAATATGTCTCTTGCTCGAGAAGTCGAAACGTTTCACATTTTATGCTTTGGTATTCAAGTGGGTGGCCAGCTATGAATACTCAGCCTCACAAGTTCGTTGATAGCTTCGTGAGACAATAGTTCAATTATTCAATTCCTCGAGCAGGATTACATGTTACATTCCAAGAGTAAGTGAATAGAGAAAGGTGCGGTCGTGAATATTGAAGAGGAGATTTGAAGGCAAAGCCCCTGTGTTGCTTGACACCCCTGTTGCCACCGGTTTAAGCAAGAATGATTAACAATGTTCATAATAAATCACCTACATAGAACTAAGTCTCTTACAAGGGAGATTTCGGATAACCTAAACCAAGCACTCATTCCACTCACGAGGGTACGCATATACATTAGCCATATGAATAAATGTACGGTCACACCCCTTTAAAAAGTTTACGTTGTAGATTACTGAAAAAGTCTCGAAAGCCTTCCCATTTAAGATACTTTCTGCCTTCATAGTTCATACGGTCTTCATCTCACCGATACAATCCTCACTGCAAAGAGGTACCCCGCACGAGAATAAGTCTGGTCGCTTCAACAACTTTCATTCAAATATCCATATCGAATATTTCATACCCATAGAATAGAAACCCCCATCCATTCCCTACCATCCTCTTCCGGTTTCATCATGATTTCGCGCACTCTCTTCGCGGAGGGGCAGCTGCATATTCCCACCACAATTGTCGCACGTAGGCCAGTGGTTGGGCCACGGCACCCCACTATAGCTTTTAAATTTGTTGGCGCATTTTTTACACCACAAATGCGTTTCTTTGCTTTTATTTTTCCAAATGGGCATTTCTCTTATGATGAGATTGGAGATTGAGATAGCTGTGGTTGTAGGTCCAAGAAGAACCAAGAATAAAGTCTTGCTCGTGTTGGAAGGTGATGTAATCTTGGTGGAAGTCGAGAGATGCTTTTGTTTGAATTTGCTTGCTGTTGTAGAGAAGTGATGGTTGGAGGTTAAGTTGTGTGTTTGTTTGTTTGTTGAAGTGGTTGTGGATGAGGTTTCGAGGGACTTGTCTAGGCTTTTATAGACTTGAAATCAAGTATGGGCGCGCTGTGACTAACAACAAGCTTGGGATCTCGTGATTCTTTACGGTACTGGATGACTGAAAGTCTCATGTGTATAATTATTGGTGTGCTTCTCAGCAGTGAACATAGAACTTATCGTTATTGGCTGTCTGTTCCCCCTGTATGTCGTTTTGACTTGGAGTCAGCGAATTCAGTATTTTCGAAAGGCTGTCTTAGCTCCCCACTCTCCTACAGACTTTTACATCGACAAATAACACCCCTTTCTCCAGCAAATCAGTAGAAATGATCAAGTGGAGGGGCCACCGATATTGCGAGATAAACCAACTTCCTGAACTCAAGACAAAAAGAGAGATGTAGGGATGCAGAGTTAGTCCGAGCCCAAGCTTGTTTTTTTTGCAATATTTTTGGGCTTTTTTTGAGGTGGTTATTTTGTACGTAGCTTGAGATTTGATGTTGTAAGTTGAGGGTGAGGTTAAAATGTCGATGGGAGTGCGGGACCTGAGGGAGTGAATAGATATGATGTGGCGCCTAAAACGCGTCTTCGCTTGATCATATAGTAGCGGTCATCTGGCTTGTTGACTGATTATGGTGGTTAGTCGTCGAATAACCGACAAGAAGTTACTCCGAGTACCTATGCCCAGGGCTTTGTATGCTATTTCACCAAGGGCCACTATTCTTCACTCGACGGAAATCTCCACTTAAAAATATCACGCAATAGGAATAGATACAAACTATTATGGAAGAGTTTTTAAAAATGATGTTGATTATTGAAGTCCATGCGTTACCTTTTATTCCTCAAATGACAATTATTAAACCCTCCAGACTTTTCACAATTTTACCAATTATCCCACCCCAGTGTCAGATCCACCCATCAATCCTACCAGAGGATTCTGCTCCCCAAATTCCTCCCATTTTTGATGATCCTACCTCCCAACCCCCCATCGCACTATGTTCATCGATATCTGGTCATAACTCAGTAATATCGCCAGTGCTAGGACCCGCCACCGTTTGTGTAAGTGCCCACCATGTTGGGGGGATAGTTCATGAGGCGATTACACCCATTAAAGTCACATCTCGGGTGTTCAGATACACCACCTTGTCTCCACCGTCGTGTATGCATAAAATGGCCAGTGCCGTTGTTGGTATCTCCATAGCACCACCAGTGGTAATCAGTAATTTCATCGTCGTGCGACACAAAGTGGCCATCACCGGTC